CATTAGGAAAGAGTGGATGAACTTTATTTTTAATGAGGTTCCAGACCACGTCAGTAAGAACTTGGTCCTTTGTTCACTTCATTTTACCGCGGATTCGTTTACAAACAAGGCACAATTCGACGCAGGATTTTCAGAAAGATTGAAACTAAAAGACGATGCTGTGCCGACTATATTGGATCCAACAGTAATGTCACACCATGTGAGTAACTGTTTTTTAATGTGGTCACTATTGCTTTGTCTGTTATTACAGATTGTTTGATATGTATTAAGTTTTTATGCGTTTTTAACCTAAATCACAGCAGCATTCCTACATTTATTGGGTTGCTTCTATAACAACGCAACCAGTTGGGTTAAAATTTTAAATTCAATATTGAAACAATATTTTTTTCATAGTGTGATTTTTGGTGAATTATATTAAAACCAGTTAATTATGATAATACATGGAATTCGCAAAAAAACAAAAACATTCAAAAATGCATTGTCCCTGTTTTTCAGTTGATAAATAATACTGTGATATTACATGTTATACCCATGTCAGAGATACACTTTGAGCTCTAAAGGGCATGCATCTCAATGAAGATTCCCGTCTTGCAAGACAGAGAAGAGAGCCTTGGATCTTCTGGATATTTCTTCTGGTGAGAGAATCCTGCATAACAACTCTCTATTTTCATGGCAATTTCAATTATGTACTGACAAGCACACTGACACACATGCACTTAAGTAATATCACACAAACAGGAGTACTGTACATAGCTGAGTTAAGGCTGTTTTGTGGCAGCTCAAAATTCTCTGTTTAGATGCAATGAAGCATGAAAAGCAGACTAAATGATTCAATTTCTAACTCATCTCAGAATCTATGTTTGCATTTGTAATTGCTCTGTAAATGCATTTATGCACCTCTGAACACCATTAAACAGCGTGTAAAGACACATAAATGCCACTGTTTCTGCCCCATCTTTGTAGTGTGAATACTGGCATTAGACTCTAGACCAATAGAGTCAATAAATTGTCTTAACAGCACAATTACAAGTGTGATTTTGCTTTTATACAACAACTTACATTTCATTTACTAAATCACTGATAGACTCACATTAAGACCCACTAGCATAATAATTTAACATGCAGAAAGAGTTGACAAAGCCCCACACCTGTCTATAATGATGCAAACACCACTCTTGTAACACTCGGCCAATCAAATCGATATATTACAGATTTTAATCCATTATTACAGTAAGAATCCCTGGCTTACAAAAGTGCTTTGAAGACTTTTTTCCCATTTTTCAATTCTTGTTTGGAGATTAATCAATGTTCTTGCTATTTAAGATCATCTTGGAGATGTTGCATTAAAACCAAGCCAGATATCCTTCCTTCATTGCCATACAAAGTGGGTAAATGTATAATTGTTAAAAATAAATTTTGGGGTATTATTTGATCTTATGTACATGTGCATATTTACCATTTTAAATTTCTGTTTAAAGGTTGAAGCAAATATCATTCAGTATTTGGAGGAGTAACAAAGCAATTCCCTCACGTCCTGCAGTTTTGGGATAAAATCAAGCCTTTGTTAGGAGGAATGACACTGAAGCAAGACCATCTTTTACAAGCAGTTCATAGATGCTTTACATTATTTTACATTTTGGACACTGAGTATCCCAAGCCTGTCTCTACAGCACACAATATTCTATATTCTGTTCCATCAACACATTTTCACCTATTTCAACAGTTTATAATTGTATTGTCTGTACTAGCTTTGTTCTGTTTGTTTTTTTATTTGTGATTTTTGTAAATTGAACACACTGCGATTACGAAGTAAGTAATAACACAATTCCAAACAATAACTTAATTTAAAAGAAGTGTTTGCAACTTTAAATGTAATGGAAATAAAACATTTTCAATATATTTGTAAGCTGTACGTTATTATGCTATTATGACCTGCTTATTGCCAGGTGGCAGAAATGTGCTGAGGTGGTGTGTGGGGAAATGCTATTGTGACATTAAAAAATGACTGGAGAG